TTCGCGCAATGCAAAAAAAATATTTTCAATTGCAAAACACCTAGTTTTGTAAGAAACTTACTGCTTTACCAAAATCGCTTGTGCGATATCCAGCCTCAAATAATAATAAAAATAATAAAAAATAAAATAAGAAAAATGTGCGAATAACGGTATTGCAATTTAAATTTTTTATTTTTTTAGTTAATTTTTTCATTGAGTTAAAAAACTGGGAAGAAAAAAAATGGCTCTCAAATAATCAAATTTTAGTCGTTAATAACTCTTACACGATAAAAAATACGAAAAACTCGCACGATATCATGTTGTAGAACATCAAATTTACTTTAAAAGCTATGAAATGATACTTTTTTTAAATTTGTTGGAAGCGAGATATGACTCTTTCTAACTTATTACACGAAWACTATGGAAAACTGTAAGCAGAAGCGCTTTTGATTTACAATTACGAGGTCATACTTGAGAAAAATTTTCTTAGACTTGTCCACTTCTCTGCTTTTTGAGAGTAATAAGCGAAAAATATAATTTTTTTGACCCATTCTAATAAATACGCCATTTACTACACAAAAAATCTGTATATTTTAGTGTAAAACTGCATATCTCAAAATTACTTGTTATATATGTTTTTCTGACATTTGTGTATGGGTTTCCATTACAAAATTCATATAAGTCTATATCATATTGACCTAAACAAATATTAATTTTTATATATGAACAAAATCAACATTTAAATATCTATATATTATATATACGTGTGTGTGTGTGTACCTACTGTATCGAAACAGACGGCCCCGCTATAGTCAGAATCAATCTTTTCGTACGAAGTATAATGACGATTAGTGATATAAAAATGGTAAGTTTAGCAAAAAAAAAAAGTCTGCAAATAGCACACAATATCAAGCAAAAGTCATCTTATCAATTGAAATTATAATAGCATAAACAGATTTTCCTAAAAACCAAAATACAAACTAATACCATTGACTTGCAAGTAATATTAAAAAAAAAAAATAAAATAAAAACACCCAAAAACTTGTTATGATCTCCTAAAGATTTTTCGCAAAAAAAGCGCTGAGAGAAAAAAATTAAATCTTTAATAAACTCCCAAAATATTAGTTTAAATGAACCGCATAATTTTACCTTTCACGGAATGCTCACAAAAACATAACAACCGTTGCAGTAACTGCATAGCAAACATACTCGTATTTACTCGCATTTACTCAAAAACCCTCTCGCTCTTATAGTTATTAAATTAGAAACAAAAACACTAATGCTGCTTTAGATATTCAAATTTAATAATGTTTTGAATCAGTTTAAAAATAGCTTGCATTTGTTACAAATATAGTTGGCAGCGGGTGCAGAGAATCTTAGTTAGATCACAAAAAAATTGTTAACCCGAAGTTCATTAAAATTTCCATTAAAAAACTAAAATCAAACGAAAATAATTCCATCATCACTTTGTTACTCTCATATATTTCATAGTAAAGCAAGTTATAGTACCCTTATAGTGACTGCCACTCTCACCGATTGGTTGCGAACAAGTTTTTCATTAATTGTYTTGCAATTCCCGCGTTCCTCACTGCTCACTACATATTATTTTAAGCTACTACTTACTTCCATAATAACAACGATTTATATTCAAATAGAGTGTTAAGCTGATTTTCTGCATTTTGAAATACACAAACATCATTGGCTGCTTGAAAACAAAAAATTGAGCAATATACAAAACTAAAAATGCAAAGTCTTTTATTGAAAGCCAAAGAAAAATAATAATAAAAAAGAACTCAAACAATCAAAAGAAGAAAAAAAAACTAAACAAAATATATAAAATTAAATGCTTGAGCAAATTAATTTCTCTGATATTATAGCAATTTATTATTTAAAACTTTTGTGGAGCTCTTAGTAGTTAGATTAGGTTGGGTTAGGAGATCGATTATAACAGGGAGCTCACTTGGCTTAGAACGTTAGTCCGTTGTGATAACTTAAAAATCCTATACATTGGATCTTAAAAACCTTCATAATCAGCAAAGCGCTTTAAGCCTATCACAAGTCTGTTGAGATTTKCAATATTAGTTTCGACTATGTCTTCTGGTGCGTCGAAGGTAAAACTATCATGTTTTAGTCACAGCCGTGTAAAACCTGGACAATGTACTAGAAAGTGTCTGGATGCTTCCACCTCACTTCTCTCTTCTATACAACTTTAGTTCGATTTATTTTTATTGTTCTCCTTTACACACCGTCTAGTAAGCACTCTTACGATTGCGGCAAGATGAATTTTGCTAAGAGCAACTAGTTTAGTAGATGTTATGCGTACTGCTCTTGCTCAAATCGAACTCGCAGTCGCACAGGAATTTTTTAACSAAAAACGTCAACGAAACCCCAACTTTATCCGACTCCGTTGTGAGCGGAGCAAGATTGACCCTCTGGCTAGCTCAWCGRCTTTGYAGTTGCTRGCTATACCGCTGTGACCAGGCACTGAAACAGTTTCTTACTATTTCTAGTGAGGACCGACACTCCTTGATTAATTTTGAGCATACAGTAGGCAATTCGTCTACGGCAACSTTGATAGTAGCTACTTCTGCTTGAAAAACACTACAGTGGTCTGGTAGTCTAAAGCTAAGAYTGACGAAAATTCCTCCTCCTAGCTTTGACCATCCGTGAAAAAGCTCACTCACTCACTCACCCACCCACATATCCCTCGTCGGCCCGCTCATAATAAGTAAAAACGAATCTAATATATTTAATCTAAARGCTTGTATATCAACTACAGTATTCTCTGCTAAACTTACTTCTGGTATATTATTTTTAACGCGCTTTGGAAGCACCAACACTTAAAAAGGTCTTCTTCACAGATACCCYGAAAATAAAGCAGAAAGAACTTGTAAGCTGATGCTTATAATATTTCTTGAAAATGCTATGATTCAGCGCATTGYAAGCGCTTGAAGTATATATAAATTCCGGCATTGTTTTGCTAGTTTCCACAAAAATTGTTTTCGATTCGCCATTTCTCTGCTCGCTTCTGTTCTAACACTATGCTGTCCATTTGGTTGAGCATCTGTCATAGTTTGCTTAACCTTCCTATACCCGCGCCAAATGTTTTAACACCTATACCCGAGCACGGTGTGCCAGACCGTGACTTTGACTCCTCTTACYTGGTTATTTTTCTATAAAACCGTTTATAGTTTTTTTATTTTATAGGAAATATAGGATGTAATAAAACAAAAAATAGGAATTGTTAACATAAATTATTTCTTACTTTAATGTTTATCAGTCTTTC